TTCCTTCCTGGCCCTGAAGTCAGTGTCAACCGTCTGCAGATTCTCAGAGAGCAACGCGTCTCAGTCACTTTCCCCGCGCTGGGAGCCCCGCCACCCACAACTCAAGGAGAGGTTTATTTTAGCTCGGGGTTTCAGTCCCTGGCGGGCTGGCTCCACCGCAGGAAGTCACGCCGGAGGGGCCTGGCGGAGGAGAGGTGCTGACGTCATGGGGGTGCCGGAAACTGAGGGGTGGGGCCCGGGGCTCTAGGCCACGCCCCCAGGGACCACCTCCAACCAGGCCACGCCTTCTAACAACGCACTAAGCTCGGAGCTCTCACATCAAATCACCTTACAAAGCACGCTCCCCCTCCCCACCCTACCCAGAGGATCTAGCTCAGTGGCACAGTGCCTGCCTGGCAAGCACAAGGTCCTGAGTTCGATTCCCGGTACCAAAACAAAAAAAATGACCACGCAATGCCCGCCCCTCCAAACATGTGGATCTCTGGGGGACATTCTAGATCTAAACCAGAACAGAAACTTCCGCCTGTCAGACACAAAAGTTACCTGTCTTTAGTGTCACCGTAGCTCCTCTGTTGTAGACTAACAGGGTGTGGAGATTACTGGCTGAACTGGACAGAAGGTCTGTGTGTTGACAGCCGGACATGGCAGGCTGCATTGGCCCTCGCCCCTGTCGCTCTTCATCTTACCAGGAGCTTCTGCCTCCACCTCCCTCCTGCTCCTTGCTTCCCAGTGTGACCAGGGTTAACCTCCCATAAATGTTCCTACAGGTTGAGCATCTCTAATACGAAAATTCAAAATAAAATCTGAAGTTACCCAGAATGGGGAAATTTCAGTGGTGGTGTTCTACAAGTGGGAAATACCACACCCGACCTCACATGACCGGTCACAGTCAAGTCACAGCCATACTAAAAATGTTGTATAAAGTGACATATAGTGGTGGCACACACCTGTGATCCCAGCACTTGGGAGGCAGAGGCAGGAGGATCGCAGTGTTCAAGGCCAGCCTGGGCTACACAGTGAGTTCAAGGCCAGCCTGAACTACATAGCAAAACCTTGCTTCAACCAATGACAACAAAAACTTTCAGTGTGTGTGTATAAATTACATACGAAGCCTAAATGAATTTAGTGTTCAGGCTTGGCTCCTCTCCCCAAGATATCTCACTGTGAATATGCAAATGTTCCAAAATCTTTTTTAAAAAGTGAGAAATCCAGAACAAAACACTTCTGGTCCCAAGTATTTTAGACAAGAGAGACTCATCCTGTAGTATAAACAAAACTGAGGACGAGAAGCTAGAAAGAGAAAAGGAAGTTTAAACTAAATGTGTACGGAGATACATAATCCTCCTACTTTCCTCTAATAATTAGAGAACTAGGAAGTAAATGAAAGTTCACCCTGAGGTCAAGGCTGTGGGTTCTCCTAGAACATCATATTGCCTGTGAGTTCCCTAACTTTATTCTTATTTTATTTATTTATTTATGTACTGGTTATTTGAGACTCACTATGTAGTTTAGGCTGGCCTTAAACTAACTCATGGAGATCCTCCAGCCTCAGCCTCCCAAGTGCTGGGATTACAAGTGTGTGCCATCACACCCAGTGAATTTCCTAATTTAATATGTGACAGATTTTTCCTTTCAGGACCTCATTTGCTGTGATTTTCAGTCATGTGAATAGGAACTAAATTTAAGTCCCACAATTTTAAGCTCTGTAACCCAGGAAACAAGAAAATAGGCAGCGTTTTTTTGGTTTTTGTTGGGGGATGGGATTGAACGCAGGACCTTTGTTCTGAGGTGTATCTTCAGCCCTTTTTTGTTTTGTTTTGTTTTGGGTTGGTTTGTTGGTTGGTTTATTTTTGAGCCAAGATTTCACTAAATCACTAAGTTATTGAGGCTGGGCAGACTTGCAGTCCTCCTGCCTCAGCTTCCCAGAGTGCTAGGATTACAGGTGTGCGTCACCACATCAGATATAGCAGGCTTATTTTTTGTCACCAATTGGAAGAAACAGTTCATATTAGAATTTAAGTGTCCATGTCTGCACTGCACAGTAAGGAAAAAAACACAAGAAAAGCACGAATGAAGTGGTTTTTTCTGTTGCTGACAGATATTATTTTATTTTTATAAAATTTTATACTCTAATAATATAATATACAATTTTATACTCTAGTAATAAAATACAAATTTTATTTTGAATTAGTCTGTCACCTAATACAGAAAATAGTGTGCTAGAGTCCTCCTTTTCCTTGCCCTGGAAGAATTATGTAGAATAATCATAAAGCTTTTTAAAAAGAAGTCCTGTACTGTCAACATTTTGCAACCTGTAATGTTTTTAGGGTTTTTTTGGTTTTTGTTTTTGTTTTTTTGGAGTCAGGATCTCGCTGCGGAGTTCAGGCTGGCCTTGAACTCCCGTGTTTTTTTTTTTTTTTTTTTTTTTTTGTTGTTCTTTTTTCTTTGGTACCAGGAATTGAACTCAGGACCTTGCGCTTGCCAGGCAGGTGCTTGTGCCACTGAGCTATATCCCCCGCCCTGAACTCCCTTATGTAGCCCAGGCTGGCCTCAAACTCACGGCGATCCTCCTGCCTCAGCCTCCCAAGGACTGGGATCATAGATGTGTACCACCACACCCGGCTTGCAACCCCTAATGAAACAATACATTTCACAGTAATCACCAATGGCCATTAAAACCATGCTGCAAAAGCCTGACGGGGACTTCACCATGACGAGTCCTGAAGGACCTGGTCCCTAGCTGATGTCACACAGAAAGGAAAGGAGATATTATGCGCCTCCTGGTAGGATTCGGTCAGAAATATAATACACTCTCCCCGCCCAGGACTCTTCTCCCCCGAAACAAGTGTAAATCTGAGGCAGCCTACCGATCAAACTAGCCACGGGCACGAAAAGTGGGAGATTCGGGCACATATGGAAACATATCAAGATGTAGGTAGTCGGTAAACTCCAGAGCATCCCGAATGACCTAGTTTCAGCAGACCACTGCAAGGAAAAGAGGCGGAAACAAGGAAACCCGTTTTATGGAAGAGCATGCCGAGGAGTCTTTTTTGATGTTACTGTTTGGAGGTGCGGGGCATCGAACCTAAGGCCCTGCTCATGCTACGCAAGTGCTCTGCCTGTGAGGCCCGACCGCGGCCCAGCCTATGGCTTTCCGTGGGGGCCGATCTGGACAAACCCGCGGCAAACGGACAGTTACTGCGTGCCGTGGAGGGTCCAAAGGTGACTGAGCGATGAGCAGGGCACGGAGCTGGAAAAGCCTCTCTGCGGCCATGATGGTGGAAGATCGGATCGCGCAGGAACCGTCATGGACGCTAAACTGAGAAAAGTAGAGCATTTACCCGGTCTTACAGTTTCTCCCAGGAAAAGGAAAACCAAGAGTAGTCAAATGTATCCCTTTGCACAAGAGAAGCTGAGACAGCACTGCAGAAAGAGCAGTTTGTAACGTTTCACCCTGCGTCTTGTCTGGGGTGTATTTATACCCAAAAGCAGGAAGGGACGTAAAAAACAACCTGATTGGCTGCATTTGCCTTGTGTCTACTGGTTGAATCAGTTGGTAGCCTGTGATTGGCTGAAGCTTGAGCGCTGTGGTTGGCTGACCTGCAGTTGCTTGGCTAAGCTTAAATCATGTTATAACTTGTTTACATCGTTAGGATACGTTTCACTACGTATGGAGGATGCTTTGGGCCAGACTTTATCACTCAAGTACAGGGACCAGTTTGTTTTATTTTATTTTATTTCATTTCATTTTAGTCCATTTTATTTTAGTCTCTTTGAGACAGGGTCTCGCTATGCCATTTAGGCTGGCCTTGAACTCACTTTGTAGCCCAGGGTGACTGGAATTCACAAGCATCCTCCCGCCTCAGCCTTCTGAGTGCTGGGATTACAGGCGTGCGCCACCACGCCTGGCTCCTGAAGTACAATTCTGAGGCGTTTTATTAGTTTTGTTTTCGGGGCTGGGGACCAAAGCCGAGGCTTGTGTGTGCTGGGCAAGCGCTCTGCCCCTGAGTCGCTTCTGTAGCCCTGAAGCAGCACATTAGAAATAAAGAGTCGTGCCGCCTCGAGTGTGTCTCTCCCTCCAGTGGCTGGGAAACAAGATAAAGGTGTGTGTGTGTTCCACCCTCTGTGCCTCACAGAGAGGAGACAGGAAGGAGGAAGGGAGGGGACATGGCCAGAAAACCGGGTAAATGTCAACACTGTGTAATTTAAACAAAAAAGATAGGTAGCTCCTTGTACCATTCTATGTTTGCATTTTTTCTGTATGTTTAAAACTATTTGCAAGTAAAATGTATGTACATATGCACATGCGTGCTAGGATTGCGCCTCACTCATGCTAAGCACAAATAAAGTATTTTTTACAAAAACATTCGTGAGATAATGAGGAAAGTGGGGAAAACTGAACAATGACTAGATTGAAGGTGACAGTAAAGAATTATTGTGCTATATTTCATCTTAGTGGAAAGTCTGAAAAGCAAGACTTACTGTTAATCTGGGTTCTTGGTTGCTTTTTTTTTTTAAACGAAGTCTCGGCGTGTAGGTCAGGCTGGCCTTGAACTCAATACGCAGCTCAGATTGGCCTTAAACACTCTGAGATCCTCCTGCCTCAGCCTCCTGACTGCTGGGCTTACAGTTGGGTGCCACCACGCATGACTTTAAAAGAAGTCATGATGTCCCCGTGGCTCCACAAGGATGTTGTTAGCCTAACCCTAACCTGTGCCCACCGCAAAGTTTGTACGCAGAATTCCAGCCCGGCTGCGATTTGCTGAACACCCAACAGGGGGCGCAGGCGGGTGGACAGGGTGACTCCGGTGGCTTCCTCACACTGTCTCCGCCCCGTGCCTGAAAATGCCAGGGCGCTCAGGAAATAACAGAAAGCACAGAAAGGGGAACTTGTTTGAGGTTTGTTGCCAGGATTTCCCGGCTCTGCCTTGAATTGTGTGCGACGCCTTCTTTGAAAGTGCCTCTCTCCCTTCGACACTTACTGTGTTTCTCCCTTCCAGGCAGCCACCCTTCCTCCACCAGCGCGGAGGCCAGAGCGATGGAATCACCCATGGAAGGTTAGGAGCAGGAAGCCTCTAACTGAGCTTCCAGAAGTTTGCAGAGCACAAGCTCTTTTAAACACGCGTGTTTGAAAGTCAGGACAGCGGCTTCCTGGCGTAAAGGTCTTCTTAGAAAACTGGCTGAGTCCTTGTCCTACGAAATAGCGTTGAGGGCTTGATCACCCCGTTTGCTTTCCTGTTCTGTGATTCTACTTACACCACCTGGATATGGACTTTCACTTTGTACCAATGCTGTTTATTGTTTATTGCTTTCTTTCCTTTTTTCTTTTCTTCCCGCCGCCCCCAAACAAGGTTTCTGTATGTTGCCCGGGCTGGCATTGAATTCCTGGGCTTAAGTGGCCCTCCTGCCTCAGCCTCCTGAGTAGCTGGGGCCACAAGTACACAACAAGCTCTCTGCATCTCACTCTCTCTTTCTTTTCATGGAACTGGGAATTGAACCTACACTACAGCCTTTGCACTGAAGTGCATCTTTACATTTTCAACTCTTTTTATTTTTTTATCTGGAGGGGAAGTCTTGCTAAGTTCCACAGGCTGCACTCAAACTTACGATCCTCCTGCCTCATCCTCCCAGAGTTCTAGGATCCCAGGCATGTGCTACCACACGCACCTAAGCTTGAAGTTTTTGTTTGTTTGTTTGTTTGTTTTCCACTACTGGGGATCAAACTCACGACCTTGCGCTTGCCGGTCAGGCGCTGTGCTGCTGAGCTAAATCCCCAGCCCCTAAGCGTGAACTCTTAAAGGGCTTTATGTATGTCCACGGTAAAATTAGTAGAGGAGATTTGTTTTCCAAACCTAAAGGCATGCCTTGTGCATTTACTGGGGAGATGACCTTCCTGTGGGGGTGGGGTAGATCTGTCTTCCCAGTAAGCAAAGCCCCAAAACAATTTCATTGTTTCCCCGAAAGCCAAGCACATTCTCCCGAGGCTGATTTGGGGGTGTTCTTTATTGTGGAAGATGTTTCCAACAGCTCCCTTGGTAATAATTTGGTTCTCTTACCCAAAAAAGTTGTGATAGATTATGTTCAGGGAAAGAGACTACAACATCCAGTTTTAGAATTGTTTCTTTTTTTTTTTTTTTTTGGTCTTTTTGAGACAGGGTTTCAGTATGCAGTTCAGACTGGCCTTGAGCTCACTTTATAGTCCAGGCTGGCCTCAAACTTACAACGATCCTCCTGCCTCAGCCTCCCGAGTGCTGGATTACAGGGGTGCGCTACCACGCCCTGCTAGAATTGTTTCTTAACTCACCAAATGAGTCATTTTAAACATAGTGGCTTTAACCCAAGAGGACAAGCTAACTCTGTCACTAACTCTCGTTTATTTTATCATTATGCTTTTAAAAAATATATATTCTTCCTTCCCCTGGCTGTCACTATCCTACTTGCTGTTTCTATGAATTTGACCACTTAAATACCTCATGAGGCATGGATCCTATACTGTTTATCTTTTTTGTTTGTTTCTTGTATTTTTAAGACAGGGTCTTAAGGGCCAGGGATATGGCTCAGCAGCATAAGCATCTGCCTGGCAAGAGCAAGTCCTGAGTTCGATTCCTGATACAAAAAAAAAAGTTAAAATAAATAAAATTAAAATTAAATTTAGCCAGGCATGGTGGTGCACATCTGTAATCCCAGCACTCGGGAGGCTGAGGCAGGCGGATCATTGTGAGTTCAAGACCAGCCTGGGCTACAAAGTGAGCTCAAGGCCAGCCTGAACTGCACAGGGAAACCCTGTCTCAAAAAGATAAAAAAAAAAAAAAAAAAAAAAGACAGGGTCTTGCTACATAGCTCAAACTGGCCGTGAATTCACTTTGTAGTCCAGACTGGCCTCAAACTGGAGGTGATCCTCCTGCCTCAGCCTGCTGAGCGCTGGGATTGCAGGCGTGCACCACCACGCCCCGCTGATTTGTCTCTCTTCCACCTGGGATTTACTCCTCCCGTTTGTCTGTGTGTAGCGCTTCACACCTGAGCTGTAATTCTCGACCTCCCGAAGTGTGGACGGGGCCGCGGTGATCCTGCACTGCGACGCACCCTGGGTCACTGGCGAGACAGAGGGGAACTGGGTATTAACCACAGCAGTCAGCTTTGTTCGTTTTAGTAATTCCGGTGACAGCAACAAAGCGCTGTGACCACACAACCCCAGTTCCCCAAACTAAAGGACTCTGTCCACAAGCGTGGGCAGCGGCCTTACGTGGTAACATCTGGAAGTTTCCATCTCCTCCTGTCCTCATTCGAGAATCCCCAGTGATACTGTCCTTGATGAGCTGCTTGTCACCCTTGACAGTGTTCAATTCCCTGTAGATTGGTTGTGTAGAAGACCTATTTTAAGCTGCCGTGCGGCCGGGAGCTGTGAAGCGCTGGGACATGAGGAGACTGCTCACTGACCAGTGTCGCTTTGTCCCCAGAGTCCACCCAGCCGGTCTCTTCAGAAACCAACGAGGACTGTGAAGGTGACGTGAAAATCGAAGGTCAGTTGCCGAAAGCCTTGTCTCACTCACCTGGTAAAGTGTGGTTTTCATTTCTTTCTTTTTTTTTTTTTTTTTTTTTTTTTCTTGGTTTTGGTTTTGGTTTGTTTGTTTGTTTCTAAACAGGGCCTTGCTATGCAATTCAGGCTGGTCTTGAACTCACTATGTAGCCCCAGCTGGCCTGGAACTCACAGTGATCCTCCTGCTTCAGCCTCCCGAGTGCTGGGGTTACAGGTGTGCACCACCACACCCGGCTCTCTTTTTGAAGGATTATTGTAGGGAAGGGGTTGAGATTAGTGTGTGCATGTACATGTGTGTGTGTACATGTGTATACAGCACAGCAGGCCGAGTGTCCATCAGGACCTGGGTGTGGGATGTTGTAGGCAATATAACCAAGCCCGGGAAAGTAGCGCTAGCCCACTCTGGGACAAACCATGCTCTGTACAATGAAGCAAAAAAGAAAGCTGGGTTGGGTGTGGTAGCCCACACCTGGAATCCCAGCCCTCTAGGAGGCTGAGGCAGGAGGATCGCAAATTAGAGCCCAGCCTGGGCAACTTAGTGACTTAGTGAGACCGTGTCTCAAAATAAAAACAAGGAGGGAGGAGGCTGGGTATGTAGCGCAGTACGAATCCCCAGTACTGGAAAAGAAAGGAAAAACTACGGCCTGGCCCCCGATCCAAGTGCCACTCGGACATTTCTAGAGAACTGGCCTCACTTCCTGTAAATTCTAAACTTCAACTTCCGTTTTAAGGAAACACAACTCCATCCAGCGGCACACCTTCTGCGTCGGGCGTGGAAGAGCTTAACATCGTGCAGGTGACCGTTCCAGGTAGGGGCGCGCACTGGGCTTGGTCAGAATTTCCTTTACAGTTTTCATTCTGTCTTAACCCCTTGGCGACGCAGGTTCACCTCTCGGAGGTGTCATTTTGCCTTCGTGCCCCTTGACGAGTAAGGAATGGCAGTTCAGGGACATAAAATGCGCCCAGATATCCCGCTCATCTCCCTCCCCCCCACTCAGATAGTTTCTCCCGGCCGCGCCCAGCATCACAGGAAACCATTCCCGCCTTGCACCCCGCTGCTGCGGAATCAGAATTGGCCACAGAGGGGAAATTGATTCTTTGCCATCATTAAATACGCTCCTGTTTGGGACCAGGGAGTTAGCTCAGCAGCGCAGCGCCTGCCTGGCAAGTGCAAGGTCCTGAGTTTGATGCCTGGAACCCCCCTGACCGCATCCCCAAAAGAACCCTCCTATTTAAATGCAGCGGACCCTTGACTTAGGACCGCCGTTCGTTCCGAGGGCTGTAACTCAGGTTGTCAGTCCAAGACTCAGACCCCAGCACACAGCCTTCACAGCCTCTCTCCTGCACACAGGCAGCTCTCATGTCCTCAGAGAGCCATCAGCCCAGGATTCCTCATTAACCCCGCGCAGGAGAGGACACTGTGCTGTAATGTTCCTGTCATGATGGTCCTTCTGGGACTTTTAAGGGTTAAATCTGTATCTGAGACCGTCTGGAAGCACAAGCACCTGGCATTTGGGTCCTCACTCAAGACTCTGGTCGTAGTTAAAACTAAAATTCTGGTCATAACCCAAGTTGTTTGCATGAGAGGCCAGTCGTAACTCGAGGGCCCACTGTAAGCTTTATTTGGTGTGTGTGTGTTTGTAAGCAAGCTATATTTGGAAACTAGGAAGAAATCTAATAACAGCAACTCCAGGCTAAAAGCTGGAGAACTGGGAGAAGGGTGAAACAGACTTTTCTACATGCTATTTTATTGCCTCTTGGATTTTAAAACATGTTTGTTTTAGGTATTCTAAATCAAATAGAATAAAGGTGTTTTTTGTTTTGTTTTGTTTTGTTTTGTTTTGTTTTTGTTTTGTGGTGCTGGGGATTGAATCCAAGGCCTGTGCATGTAAGGCAAGCCCTGTACCACTGAGCCACATCCCCAGCCCAGAATAAAGTTTTTAAGTATGACAAATATTTCCTTCTAGGGGCTGGGGATTTAGCTCAGCGGCACAGCGTCTGCCTGGTAAGCACAAGGTCGTGAGTTCAATTGCCAGTACTGGAAAAAAAAAGAAAAATATTTCGTTCTGCTCCAAGTACCTTTGAATTCTTTTACTTGTCATAGTGCATTAGCTAAGATTTCCATTCTATTGGTTTTTTTGTTTTTGTTTTGTTTTGTTTGTTTTTTTTCTGGTACCAGGAATCGAACTCACGACCTTGTGCTTGCCAGGCAGGTGCTGTGCCGCTGAGCTAAATCCCCAGCCCCTAAGATTTCCATTCTAATATCGAAAGTGTTGATGAACATGAATGACAGGTCTGACCCCCTACCTGCCCCCCCCCCCCGAAAGTTCCCGGAGTGACTGTTCCTAGGTCCCTAAGTCCCCAAAACAGTCCACCCACATCCGGGCATGCACCGCTAGGTAGCGTCGCACCTGGTACAGCAAAACATTAGCGTTGCTGTGTCAGCCGTTGCCCGGTAACCGTTGCTACTCAGAGTCTCCTTTTGCTGACCTCATGCTCTCCCACCCCCTCAACCTGATCCACACAAACCCAGCTCAATAGACTTGACTCATGTTCTCCTTCGGAGCTACTCCAGGAACCCCCAAGTCGGGCTGGCTCTGCTGTTTTCTGCTTTTTTATTGGGTCTTCACTGTTTACCTAGTTGCCACCGGTTACCTGACAATGACCATCCTGTGTGTGTGTGTGTGTGTGTGTGTTGCTGGGGATTGAACCCAGGACCTTTGCACTGAGCTCTATCTCCAGCTCTTTATTTATTTTATTTTTTAAATTTTGAGACATGGTCTTGGCTAAGTCACCAAATTGCCCAGGCTGAACTCAAGCTTGTGATTCTCCTGCTTCAGCCTCCCAGCTTGCTAGGATGACTCGAGTGTACCCCCACGCCCACTGAATACCATGTCTTGCATGATGTTGAAAATGTTCCCCAGAGTCTGCAGAGTATGGCTGTGTTGTGTCATCATTTGGAAAATTCTCTTTTATCTATAATGGTTTCCATTTGTGAATTTCTAAAAATAATTATTGTGAAAAGTAAGCTGACTGATGCTCCAGGTGGAGTGCTGGCTTTTCCCCAACAGTCTGGAGAAGAATTAATGACCTTGTTTATTTATGTAATTATTTTTAGACAATGAGAAGGAAAGATTATCAAGCATTGAAAAGATTAAACAGCTACGAGAACAAGTTAATGACCTCTTTAGTCGAAAATTTGGTAAGTCTGTGTACTGTTACAGATCCAGAGTTCATATGCTTGAAATACTTCTTTATAGGGCCAAGGATATAGCTCAGTGGCGCAGTGCCTGCCTGGCAGGTGTGAGGTCCGGAGTTCGATTCCTGGTACAAAAAAACCACCTTTTTTATAAAAGATATTCTATCAACCAGGTGTGGCAGTGTACACCTGTAATCTCGGCACTTGAGAGGCTGAGGCAGGAGGATCATTGCAAGTTTGAGGCCAGCCTGGGCTCCACAGTGAGTTGAAAGCCAGTCTGCACTACACAGCGAGACTGTCTCAAAAAAAAAAAAAAAAGAGAGATACTTCATTTTCTAAGGAGTTGCCCTTTCTATGAAAGAGCTGTGATAAAATCAGTATATGTTTTTACTGAACAATTTTCACATAGAGATACTGGTTAATGGCAATAAGAATAGCTGTCATTGATTTACTGAGTATTTCTTTTATTATTGATTATTTTATTATTGATTTACTGAGTATTTCTTTTTCTGCACACGTTTGACTGTTTAATCCTTACAAAAACCTTTCCGGTAGGTACTTTGACAGTTCCTATTTAAGAGATGGAGACAGAGCCCGCTCTACCCCCCATGCTAACTTTGAAATCAATGCAGTGACAGTCATACACGTAGTCCTGCTGGGAAGGAAAGTAACAATAGCCGATCGTCAAGTGGAAATGAGCTTGACATTTCTTTCCAGGCCTAGAGGTTAAAACCAGGGTCTCATATGAGCACGCCAGGCTAGCACCCTACTACTTTTAAAATTTTAAGACAGGGTCTTGCTAAGTTGCCCAGGCTGGCCTCAAACTCCCCACCGCCCTGCTCAGTGGGATTACGGGCGTGCGCCACCACGCCCAGTTTAAAATCTTAACACCGGAGGTGAAATGTGGGTCGGAAGAGCCCGTGACAAAGCGCAGCAGGTCTCTGTTGCTCGCCCTGGCCCAGGTGAGGCGATCGGTGTGGACTTCCCCGTGAAGGTGCCCTACAGGAAAATCACCTTCAACCCGGGCTGCGTGGTCATCGACGGGATGCCCCCCGGCGTGGTGTTCAAGGCGCCCGGGTACCTGGAGATCAGCTCCATGCGGAGGATTCTGGATGCTGCAGAGTTTATCAAGTTCACTGTCATCAGGTGAGGAGGGTCCGTTGGTCTGTCACCAGAACAGATCTGGAGGTCAATGCTTATTGGAAGCAGACAGGTCGCTGCCCAGGGAATTTGCCCGGGAGGTGGCCTGGGTCCCGCAGTTGAGTTACGAGTCAAGTGCATTTTCTTGTCTCTCAGTGGGCGTGAGCAGCCTGCTTCAGTTTTACTTCCCACGAGTTATACTGACAGCCAGCAAAAGTATGTGGGACAAGCTGGGTGCAGGGGTGCACACCTGCAATCCCAGCTCTCTGGGAGGCTGAGGCAGAAGGATTGAAAGTTCCAGCCCAGCCTGGGCAATTTAGCAATTTGGCAAGATCTTGTTTCAAAAAATAAAAGGAGCTGGGGGTGTAGCTCCGTGCAAGGCCCTGGGGTGCGGGTGGGCTGGAAGGGTCAGAACTGAACGGACAGGAGGGGACCTTGAGCCTTGCTACATTCACGGTGCCTCTTTCTCCGCAGGCCGCTCCCGGGGCTCGAGCTCAGTAACGGTGAGTGTTCTGTGCGCCCACACCATCCAGTTCATGGCGCTGAGGCGGGGGGCCCCCCGCGGGCAGTCGCCTTGGGGGTCATGGCTTCTGCGCAGGGCTTTCTAATGGGCTTGCTTTTCCCTGTGATAAGCTTCCTCCTAGCCTCCTTGGCTCATGTACAGTGAATTCACTTTATCCCTCATGTTTATTGTGTTCTTGGTTTTTCTTTTCTTCTTTTCTTTTCTTTTCTTCCCACTACTGTAGATTGAATCCAAGGCCTTTACACTGAGCTACATCCCCAGCCTTTTTTTAGGTTTCTTTTTATTTTGACACAAGGTCTTGCTAAGTCACTAAGTTGCCCAGGCTGGGCTCAGACTTGCTATCCTCCTGCCTCAGCCTCCCAGAGTGTTGGGATCACAGGTGTGCACGCCACGCCCAGCTTATTTTTCTAATGTTAGAGGTAAGAAAAAAGTGATTTGATGATTTCCAGTACTTCCTTTTTGTGCTGTTGGGATGGAGCTCAGGGCCTCACACGTGCCAGGCAAGCGCTCACCACCGAGCCTCCTCGCCCGCGCCCCACGGCCCAGCACCACCCAAGGTTAGAACAACTCCATGGCCCTGTGGCTCCTCCTACTGCTTCAGTCATTCGCTCTTCCCACCTGTTTCTCTTTGTGTCTCTGTAGCTGCACCTTCACTTCCTGGAGGTGAACCTTCGTATCTGTTTCCTCTGCACCTGGCTTGCTTAACAGAGGCACCCTTTCTGCATGAGTTTCCTGGGTTCTAAGACTCTTTTGAGACTCACAGTTTGTACCTCACATGCCTCCTGCACCCTTTCCTGTCTCTGTAATTTAAAAGTTCTCCTGCGAATCGCATGAGAAGATGCATGGTAAAATGCAAACAGCTGGGCATGCTGTCACCTGTACTTCCAGCACTCTGGGAGGCTGAGACAGGAGGGCCCCTGTTCAAACACAGTCTGGGCAGGTCAGTGACTTAGCAAGAGACCCTGCCTCAAAATAAAAAGGGTTGTGGTGTCGCTTAGTGTGAAAGCGCTGGGTTTAATCCCCAGACCTGCAAAGAAAAAAAAAATCTGATCTCTAGGTTCTCTTTGGAGATCTGACACTCTGGCCAGGCTGGGCCATACGCCCTGTGGCAGCAGTGGGCTGGAGCGACTGTCAGGGGCCCCTGTGCAGGGCTGGGTTCTTCTCACGTCCACCGCCCCCCGCCCCGCCCCAGCCCAGCCCCCTCACTGCGCTTGCACTGTTGCTTTTTTTTTTTTTGGTTTTTCTCCGGTACCGGGAACCGAACTCACGACCTTGCACTTGCCAGGCAGGCGCTTTGCCGCTGAGCTAAATCCCCAGCCCCTGCACTGTTGCTTTTGTAACAAAAGTGAAACGGCTCTTTCCTGTCTCTGCCCGCAGTGGGCAAACGCAAGATCGACCAAGAGGGCCGCGTGTTTCAAGAGAAGTGGGAGCGCGCATACTTCTTCGTGGAGGTGCAGAACATCCCCACGTGCCTCATCTGCAAGCAGAGCATGTCGGTGTCCAAGGAATACAACCTGCGGCGCCACTACCAGACCAACCACAGCAAGCACTACGACCGCTACACGGAGCAGGCGAGGGACGCCAAGCTGGAGGAGCTCAAGAACGGGCTCCAGAAGTATCTCCTGGGCTCGTCGGACCTGCTGTGCGCGGAGCCCAAACTCCCCAACATGGCTCCACCCGAGAACATCGTGGTGCAGCCGCTAGAAGACACGACCGGGAACCCGTGGGAGAAGCTGCGCGAGAAAATCAAACTGTTTGTGGCCTACTCGATCGCCATCGACGAAATCACAGACATAAACAACACCACGCAGCTGGCCATCTTCATCCGGGGCGTCGACGAGAACTTCGATGTGTCCGAAGAGCTCCTGGACACGGTGCCCATGACGGGCACAAAATCCGCCAACGAGATCTTCTCGCGCGTGGAGAAGAGTCTCAAGAAATTCAACATCGACTGGTCCAAGCTGGTGAGCGTGGCGTCCACGGGCACCCCGGCCATGGTGGATGCCAGTCACGGCTTGGTCACGAAGCTCAAGGCCAAGGTGGCCATGCTCTGTAAGGGCTCCGACCTGAAGTCCGTCTGCTGCATCATCCACCCCGAGTCCCTGTGCGCGCGCAGGCTGAGGATGGACCACGTCATGGACGTGGTGGTGAGCTCTGTGAACTGGGTCTGCTCGCGGGGCCTGAACCACGGCGAGTTCACCACGCTGCTCTACGAGCTCGACAGCCAGTACGGCAGCCTGCTGTACCACACCGGGATCAAGTGGCTCAGCCGCGGGCTGGTGCTGCGGAGGTTCTTTGAGTCCTTGGAGGAAATCGACCACTTCCTGTCCTCCCGGGGGAAGCCGGTGCCTCAGTTGAGCTCCCGGGACTGGATCAGGGACCTGGCCTTCCTGGTGGACGTGACCTCGCATCTCAACACCCTGAACGTGTCCCTGCAGGGGCACTCCCAGATGGTGACGCAGATGTACGACCTCATCCGGGCCTTCGTGGCCAAACTGTGCCTCTGGGAGACGCACTTGGCCAGGAACAACCTGGCCCACTTCCCCACGCTCAAGTCGGTGTCCAGGGACGGAAGCGACGGGCTCAACTACATCCCCAGGATCGCCGAGCTCAAGAGCGAGTTCCAGAGGCGGCTGTCCGACTTCAAGCTCTACGAGGCTGAGCTCATGCTGTTCAGCTCGCCCTTCGCCACCAAGATCGACAGCGTGCGGGAGGAGCTGCAGATGGAGGTGATCGACCTGCAGTGCAACACGGCGCTGAGGGCCAAGTACGACAAGGTGGGCGTCCCCGAGTTCTACAAGTACCTGTGGAGCAGCTACCCCAAGTACCGCAGCCACTGCGCCAGGATCCTGTCCATGTTCGGCAGCACCTACATCTGCGAGCAGCTCTTCTCCATCATGAAGCTCAGCCAGACCAAGGACGGCTCCCCGCCGCAGGACCCGCAGTGGGACGCCGCGCTGCACGGCGCCACGTAGGAGGGAAGGGGCCGCCGCGCCGGGCCCTGGAGTCCACGGGCGCGCAAGGCCCACGAGGACGATGGACTCGGAGGTATACTGGGAGTGTCCCCCTTTCCCACACTGAATCAGAAGTCCAGTTGCCGGGATCGCCCGCTGGTATGCTATTCTATGCTTCCCTGTAGGCCAGTAAAGCTCCAGAAAGCTGCGTTGCGTTCCTGTCGGTGTCTGGCCCCTGCCGCCTCCCCAGCCCCAGGGCAACCCATCCGCAGAGACACAGACAAGGAGAGCTGTGTCTGTCTGCTGCCGGCACCTGTGCAGTCCCACCTCTGTCCCCCATTTACCACTACCCCACCGGGTCCGACACAGGTCCCAGTCCAGGTAGAATCGTTGGAGACGCGTCATGTGTTAGAGTACTCTTGGTTTTTTTTCCCTCCAGTACTGGGGATTGAACCCAGGGTGTTCATACTAAACTACATCCCCAGCCATTTCTTAATTTTTAAATTTTGAGACAGGGTCTCACTAAATGGCATGAGATGCCCACATTGGACCCCAAGTTGCGATCCTCCTGCCTCAGCCTCCCTGAGTGCTGGGATTCCAGGTGTGTGTCACCGCGCCCAGCGCATATTATAGCATTTACTTCCTGTCAATTTCTGCCCGAAGAAGCTAGAAAGATCAGACTGAATATGAGGAATCCCAGAACAAGTGGAGCACGCAAAAGGTGAAGTAAATTGGGGTTCAACTGTTGTCTTTAAATTTTTAAAAAATTTGCCAGGGATATAGTAGCACAAGTGCCTGCCTGGCAAGTGCAAGGTCCTGAGTTCCATTCCCGGCACCAAAATAAGTAAATACATAAATTTTTTAAAAATTTGAAATAATTTCAAATGTCTGGAAAAGTTGCAAAAGTGAAAATAATATGAAGAGCACTCATGTATTTACCTCAGTCCAGATTCCCACAGAGAACATCTCCCCCGATTTACCGTTTGTCTCCCTCGGCCTGTGGGTGTGTAAGTGTGTGTGTAAATACATGTGCATTTTCCTGAGCCATGGGAGGGAAATTTACACATATTTACCCCTCAACACTTCAAGGACTGTTTTCTAAAAATACAAACATCCGTTTACATAACCATAGTTCAGGTACCAATTTGAGTAAGTCCTGTGTGTGTAGAGGCCCTTCCAGGTCCTCGTCACGGCCCGGGAAGTTTATATTTGTAATCCCATGAGAAGTTATTGGAATTCTAGCGAGTTAATTCCAGTCTACCACTCCCAGTGCAGCCCTTGGCGAGAATAAAACACTAAGGCGTATTTGTAGTTATGGGGATGCGAGGGGTCCTAAGTCCAGCCATGATGATGACTCTGGAACAAAGGCCTTGACCCAAGGCTGAACCCTATTTTTATTCATTCATGAAGAAGGGATTGGCTTGAGGATGAGTGGCTGTGAGAGAGAGTGGTGGGAAATATGTGAGTGCCGTGAGCTGGACTAGGTAGGAGGCCTGAAATCACCGCTGCCATATGCAGAGAGAAGGATCTGCAGAAAGAATAATCTGCATAACATAATTGAGATAGTATCTAATGTTTTGGGGTCGGTGCTTCAGTGCTGATGAGTAATCTTTGAAGCCGCAGGAAGTCACAGCCTCTATTCCCAAGGCTCGATACCAGCCGAAAGCGTGGAGCATTGGCTCACACACCCCACCTCATCCCGGCTCACTTGAGGGAAACACACCTGGCATCTTCAAAGACTACCATTAGCACCTAGGCTGGACCAATATGCGTTGCTTAAAGCCAATTGAGGGGATAAGGAGAAGTCCCAGCCAGCTCTGTACATATCAGTACATGGAAATAGGGTCAGGTTCAGCCACAATGGAGGCAGTTGCTCCTCTTTCAAGGAGAGTCACCCAGGTGGTTCTCCACAAACATGGAGGTACTACTTTGATCTACTCCAAGCTGGGAGTGGTGGCATGCACCTGTAACCCCAGCACTCAGAATGCTGAGGCAGGAGGATCGCTGTGAGTTGCAGGGCAGCCTAGGCTACCTAGTGAGTTCAAGGCCAGCCTGAACTGCATGGAGAGACCCTGTCTCAAAAAACAACACAAACCCAAGAATGTCATTTCCTTTGTAGCATTTTCCCAAGTGTCGCCATTTGAAGGTGGGGGAGTATGTGTGTTTGGTGTGTGTGTATTTGGGGGGGTGTGCGTGTACCTCTGTGTTCTTTTTTATTTATAGGGGAGGGAGGCACAGAGATTGAACCCAGGCCCTCCACCCTGAGCTACATCCCTCAGCCCTTTTTTATTTTTTATTTTGAGACGGGGTCTTGGTAAGTTGTCAAGTTGCCTGGACTGGGCTCAAACTTGCGATCCTCCTGCCTCAGCCGCCCAGCGTGCTGGGATGACAGGTGTGCACTTCCACACCAGGTTCACCTCTGTGTTCTTAATGTGTACCCATTAAATGTGTATCCATTAGAGAATTAGAGACCCTAAAAATCCCTCCGACAAACATGGAGCCAGGTGGAGCTCAGCCAGCGGCAGGGGCAGGGCTGGCACAGGGAGGGAGAGGCAGCCTCCAGCTGGTGCCAAATGCACGGCCCTCAGGATTCACACTCAGATCCAGCAACTCCACAGTCCCTGTCCTCACAGCAGCTGCCCTACCTGCTGTGGACGTGGACCCAGTAAGGTCCAAGCCCCCCGACACACACACACCGTGTCACAGCTGCGGCTCCTGGTCATTCACTATCAGGTGGCGGGGAGGGGATAGCAGGGCTCAGCCCTGGCTCCCTTTGGCCACCAGTGCCTTTGCGCTGTGAAACCCCAAGGCGGGGGCTCCCTCTCTGTCCAGGCTTGTGTGTCGGGACTGGGATGGGTTGGGATGTGGCAGCTGTTGTGCCGACTATCACCCACACACCAAACAGAAGCTGTCAGTGTCCGCAGATGGAGCTTTCAGAGTGGCGCGGGGCTGCACTGGGGGCCGGGGCTGCTCATCGCTGTCCGTTCCCGGGGCAGGCCGTGCTGCCCCTGTTCCGGGGCCTGTCCTAGCCCAGGAGGGGCAGAGGACAGAGCTGGCCACGCCTCTGAGGCAGACGCTGGGCTGGGGGTCCGTGCCGAGCCCCTGATGCCAGGCTGCCTCCTCGGGACGTGCATCTGACCCCTGAGCAGCTGTGGGCCCAGGCAAGGCCTGCCCCTCCCCGAGCTGGGTGCCAGGGAGCTGGGGAGGCAGCCAGGCTCGCCTCCCACCCTGCCCCCTTCTTGCGGTTACCTCGAGCAAATCACCTATGTGTTCTGGGCTCTGGTTCCCTCACCTGGAAAATCCCCACCCGCCCTCGGTGCTCCCAGAACTAGAGCTGCCGCACGGAGTCCAGCCTCGAGGAAACAGGTGGCTGCCGGGCGGCCGCTCTGACCGAGCCAGCACCTGTGGCCACGTCCCTCCTGCGTCCTGGGACACCGTGCCTTTGCGCACTGCTTCCTAACCACGCAGGAGCCGCAGGCGCTGATGCGAGGCCACTTCCAGCGGACCGGGAACGTGGAAAAAATCATGGGTGGAGGGGTCTGATCGGGGTTTCAGCTTAGGAAAAAATACACACACAAAAAAAGCTTTAAATGATGACCGTAATACCTTACACTGCATGGAGTGCAGAGGTCCTAAGCGCCTGCACAAGCAGGGTTGGTTTGTCTCCCCACAGCTCTTGTGGCAGCGGCTGATGCCAGGCCTTCCTGCCAAACACAGGTCTGCCAAGTTCCCGGCCCGGGAGGGCTCTGCCAACCCTCTGACCGTCAAAACGTTCTCTCCAGAGCGCCTGGCGCCATGCTTGTGCCACCCCTAAGGGGACCAGCCTTGCCCCCCTCGCAGCCACGGCCCGAGCAGGGGAGCAGCTCTTCATGCCACCTATGGTGGCCTTCATGATAAGCGGGGTCCTTGGCATTTGGGACAGACGCACCGCCAAGCACTCTGAGGCCACGCGCAGTCCAGCGGCGGTGCTGCGGCTCAGCCGCGCATGTTGCTTTCAGGGTCACGGCTTCCTAGGCGGGCGGCAGCAGTGCAGCGCCGGGCCCGCCATAGGCTGCATAGCCCTGCCCTGGGCGCAGCCTGTCTCCCACTGGGCTAGCCCTCCTCTGCAGTGGGGCCGGAGCTGGAGCAGGCGGTTCTGTCCAGACAAAAGGTCAGCGAGGGCCAGGAGTCCCTCCTGCTCTTGGGCTTCTACATCCTTGTTCCTGGCCAAGAGCAGGGCAGAGCGACCTCGGCTGATGCCCCTGAAGCCAGTGCCCATCGGGTCTCACTAGGCCTTGTCATTCTAGGAATATCCCAGGCCCAACAGCGGTGGCACACGCCTGAAATCCACCACTCTGGGAGGCTGAGGCAGGAGGATGGAACGTTCAAGCGCAGCCTTGGGAAACTTAGAGATTCTGTCTCAAAAAAAGAAGAAAGGGCTGAAAATGTAACTCAGTGTGAAGCCTCTCGTTCAATTTCCAGTTGGGGAGGTCGCTGTGACAGAGCCCGGCCCACCCTGATCAGGGCCTCTGTCCACTATAAGCAACATTTATTGAGGATGGTTGATGGTGTCGTGGGCTGAGGGTTCCAGGGCATCGACTGCAGGCTCTACACTCATATATACAGGGACTGCCTATATACAGGGATCGGGCAGGGGTTCTTTCTGAGGACGGTGCCCGAGCCTCAGACAGAGACGGCAGACGCCAACTTTCGCTTGGTGCTCTCGCTGCAGCGGTGCAGGATGAGGTCGGCGCTGGGTCTCGGGGGCACCGCTGGTTGCGGCTTCGGCTTCGCTCGCTGGCTCTGTGGATTCTCCTCTGAATAGACAGCGAGGCGGGTCAGAGGCCCCGCCCAGAAGCTCCGCTGGCCCCGCCTCTCGAGCCTTCTTCACCCTGACTCCGCCCCCCAGGAGTCGCCACGCCCATGCCCCCTTGCCACGCCCCTCTTGGTCCCGCCCCCTCACCCTAGTGCTCTCTCCGCCCTCTGGTCCCGCCTTCAGGTTTTTCCTCTCCCCTGACTCCGCCCCATGGCCCAGGTCCCGCCCAATAGTTTCCTCTGGCCCCGCCTTCCTCGACTCAGACTCCGCCTCTAGAACTCGCCCCGCCCCTGAGCGTTCTGGCCCCGCCTCGCCCGCGCTCACTCTGTGGTCCTGGCCGCGCCTGGCCGCGCCGCTGCTGCAGGAAGCGCACGCTGTTGCGCCGATAGGCGTCCTGGGTGAGGCGCTTCCGCGTCCGCTGGTGGATGCTGTTCGCGTTGCGGATGGTCGACCTAGCCCAGCGGGACCCGAGTGTCACCAGATCCCTGGGCACTCCCAGCACCCCCGGCCCCCCAACCCAGGGCCTGGGGACCCTCGCTCACCGGCGGGGCGGCGCGCCTCGGCCCTTGATCTGGCGCTGTGCTTGCGCCACGTCGTGCCCTGCCTTCTGCAGGTACATGGACGGGAAGTAGCCGGTGACGTCCTGCTTCCTGCAAGACAGCTGCCTTGAGGCCCAGCGGGGAGCTGCGGGGCGTGGGCCTCCGTTTCCCCTCTTTACCAGCACTCTAAAGTCTGGGCAGGGGAGAGCATTAGGGACACGTGTTTCCTAAAAGGTAGCTGCGAGATACTACTGTCACTTTTTTTCTGTTATGATGTTGCCCTTTGTGTCCTAAGAGAGTCACCATCTTCGTTTCAACATTCTTCTAAATGCTTTTTGTTTTTAGGTTTTACCCATGGTAAATCCTCAAAACAAGTGTGTATAGTGTGAGGTAGGGATCTGGGTTTGGGGGGTTTGAGACAAGGTCTCACTTGCCTGGCCTTGAACTCACTATGTAGCCTAGGCTGGTCCCAAACTCACAGCAATCCTGCTGCCTCAGCCTCCTGAGGGCAGGGATTGTAGGCCTGTGCCACCATGCCCAGCTGGCTCTGGGGTCTACTGCTGGGGATTTTTTTGTTTGTTTGTTTTTTTCTGCCATACAGCTATCCAGGTGTTCCAGCACCATTGCTGAAAAGATGTTCCTTTCCACCCTCAACAGTATACTTGAGAACAAGAAAAAAAATCTTCATGTAACACATTGCAAAGTGGAAAAACAACAAAGTCGCTGCTCAGCTGGTGAATGGTTTCCAGGAGCCGGCTAGGGTTAACAAGGGTAGGGCTGGGCTGCAGTGTGTGTGAGCACAACTCCGGACGTGACACTGGGCTCTGGCCTGGCAGCCCTGCTGGCTGCAGGGAGTCTGCCCCCGAAACCAGAAAATAACAAAATTAGTGTTCCGACAGACGTTCATATGGAGGGGCAGGAAGGTGGGAAATGCAATGCACGTTTTCAAAGGTAAAGGGGTCTGTGGTCCCCGCTGTCACTGGCAACAAATCCACAACTGGCTGTGCTGTTGGGGGAGGAGTAATTCAGGAAGGGACCCCAAGTCCCAAGGGAAAGGGGCCCCCTTGGGCCAGGACACCAAGGCCCCCAGTGCAGGCACACTGGTCTGTCCGTCCCCTGCTTGGGCTGTCGCAGGCTGGGGCTCCTACCTGACCACCCACCAGCCGTCCAGGAGCTTATGAATGACCTCGATGGCCTCACCCTCGGACAGGGACATCTCGTCCTCCTCTACGGCAGTGTAGGCTTTGATGGTGACATAGGGCTCACCTGGGGGATGAGGGGACACAAGCTGTGGTGTGGGGGTCTCTGGCCCTGCCACCCTCGCTGGGCTTCGGCTTCCTCCAGCTGTGCAGCCCCACGTGGAGCCAGGCCACCCCTCTGGCGCCTACCCCAGGGGGCAGGGATCGGGGAGTGTCTGCACTCGGGCCCTCAGACCTCACCACACACTGCCACCCACACCAGAGACCAGGGCTCTCATCGCTACAGGGGCCTGGCCCGGTACCCAGAGAGACCAGCATGGGGGACACTGGTCACAGGACCCCAGGTGCACTCAACTGCAGCACAATCCAGCACCAGCTTTTTCCAGAGGAGCCATAAATCCCCCACTAAAGGGTGAAATCCCTCCTTCCTTTTTACTTTTTCCATTACTGGGGATGGAAGCCAGGGCCTTTGCATCCCCAGACCTTTCTTATGTTTTTTTGTGTTTTTTTGTTTGTTTGTTTTTATTTTTATTATTATTTTTATTTTGTTTTAATTTTAAAGAGTAAAAGAAGGATTTATTTTTTATTTTGAGATAAGGTCTTGCTAGTCACTAAGTTGCTGGGCTCAAACTTGTGATCCTCCTGCCTCAGCCTCCCAGAGTGCTGGGATTACAGGTGGGCACCACCATGAACTCTCTCAATTTTAAAACATGGCCAACCAAGCCTAACTAACTGTGAATTCAGTGCAGACCCCACACATGCAGCCCCAGGTCTGCCACACTCCCCCTTCTGGTCACTAATGGTGCCCTACCTCCAGGCAACACTCAGCTGCCACTGCCATCACCCCCTCCTTCTGTCACCTCCTGGTTCCCTGTCCTCACTAAAGACATCACTACCTACCAGGGTCCCCAAGTCAGAAACAGCGGGTCTTCGGAGGCAGCAGTCAGGCCACACCAGCTTCAGCCATAGCCTTCTCCACATCTGCGGTTTCTCCTTCCGCCCCCTCCCTCCCGAAGCCCTGAGCTCTGGAGGGCTGGGTACCTGCATAGTTGGGCTCCGGGTCCTCGGCCTCGTCAGGACTGTCCAGGGGCTCCAAGAAGGATGCAGGGACCCAGCCACGCTTTGCCTTCATTTGGCAAAACCACCAGCCTGTGCCAGGGTGGGAGAGGTAAATGAAAGAGGTGGAGCCCAGCAGCCACCCGCAGCCATGAGGGCGCTGAGGACACACAGAGACACACGGACTTGGGGTGCTGAGATTCACCAATGTCACCTTCTCCGCGCTCAAAGTGGAAATCCCACACTCCTGCCTACAGCTCGTGGGGGTGATAGCGCTGAGTCCCCTTCCAGGAGCAGACCCAAAATCCACACCCAGGCCTGCACCCCGCAAGGGGACCCCAGCCCCAGGGGAACAAGGCTCCAAGCAGGGCAGAGGGGCGGGGGGCCTGACCACTCTGGCTCTTCTCCACGACGTCCACCACGTCGCCCATGGCCAGAGCCATCTCCGAGCCTGAGGTCTTCTGGTAGTCGGCAATAGCGCGGTAGCTCTGCAGGACGATGGGCCCGGTGATATCTGGCGGGGAGGGAGGCGCTGAGCAGTGGCCGCGGGCAGCCTCGCCCTGCACGGGGAATCTGCGCTGGGAATCGGCAGCGGGCGAGCCAATTCCTGCAGCCCCGAGTCCCCGGGTCCCCAGCACCTCCGGCCAGTGGCTTCTCAGCTGGGGAGGGTGCAGGGGCCTGGAGCCGCCTTCCCCAAGGACCCTGATTGGGCAGGAGGTGCGACGGGGACACTGCGGAGCCAACTTGGCCAGATTTCCAGGGATCTGGAGGCAAATGTGAGCTCAGCCTGAGCAACTTAATGACTTAGTGAGATCCTGCCTCAAAATAAAAATTTTTTAGAAGGCCGGAACAGAGCTCCGTGCGAAGGGCCTGGGTTCTGTCCCCAATACCGCACAGAGGGGGGGAGGGGAAAGGTGGAGGGGGCGGGGTCGCGAGGGCGGGGCGGGGAGACCAGCTCTGCAGGCGCCCGGATCTGCGATATTTGTGCTGCAGGGATGGGCTCCTCTTTTCCCCGTGGTGCCAGGGGTGGAACCCAGGACCTCACTGGAGCTAAGCTCATGCCGTCCCAGGGTGCTGCACCCCGGGCCCCGCCGCACTCTGCTGGACCCATGGGGATGAGTCTGCCGCCCGACCGCGCCGCCTTCCAGCAGGGCGCCCGTTTCCTGTCGCTGGCTGCTTGATTCAGTGAAAATGCCGAGCGCTTTCTTTGAGAGGGTCTCATTATGTTGCCCGGGCTGACCTCAAACTCTTGGGCTCAAGCAACCTTTTCGCTTCAGCCTCTGGGACTACAGGTGTGCACCATGGTGTCTGCTTTATGCATTAATACTTTTGTTTTTCAATACTGGGGGTTGAACCCAGGGCCTTCACACTGAGCTACATCCCCAGCTCTTTTTATTATATATTTTTAAAAATTTGAGACAGGGTCTTGCTGCCCAGGTTGGGTTCAAACTTGCAATCCTCCTGCCTCAGCCTTCCAGATGCTGGGATTACAGGTATGTCCCACCACGTCGCACTTGGAATTGATACATTTAAAAATTGCCTGCCAGCCGTGGTGGCACACGACTGTAATCCCAGCACTTGGGAGGATGAGGCAGGAGGATCGCCACAAGCTCAAGGCCAGGCTGGGCTACATAAATAATTTCAAGGACACTCTGTGCTACATAGTGAGACCGGCTGAAAAAAATTAAAAATGAAAAGTGCCTGCCATGGAGCAAGTGCTCGGTAAACATTAGGGATTATTGTCAACAGACGCCACGCAATCCGGATTAGAATCCTGGAGGCCACCTTAGCTCCCTAACCCTTCCCGTTCTCACCGCCACAAACGCCCCCCAAACCCAGGATGGTACTGGGTACTGCAGCCGCAGGGCTGAGGATAGGCAGCCGCCTGCAGGGGCAGCCCTGGCCGTGCGCCCTGACACTCGGACTCTCACCTGCCGCGTTGCTCTTGCCGTCCTTGGGCACCAGGTAGGTCTCGGGCTTCCTCACCCTGCAGAGAGAACCCGCGTCTGTGCGGTGCGCATGCGCACTCCCCGCCGAGGGGCCACCCAGGAGGACTTTCCAGAGCCAGGGGACTGGGACATGGGGGAGAGCTTGGGAATGACGGCGCGCCAGGCCGCCCCAGAAGGGCGTGGGGGACACCTGCCCGGCCTCTGCAGACCCGGCTGCCCGGGGGAGGAGTGTTCAAGGTCAGCTGGGTGGGCTTGCGAGCCAGGTGACCAGAGAGAGATGAGGGACCCTGCAACTAGAGGCGCCCTCAATGACACAGCTCGGGCCGCCCTGCCTCTGGGCCTCGCCCCCTACTCCGTTAAAGTCCGGGAACTTAAGTCAGGTTGGAGGGAGTCAGGAGTGGGGCGCACGGCTGTAATCACAGAGCTCTAGGAGGCTGAGGCAGGAGGATCTCCATGTTCAGCCCAGCCTGGGAAACTCAGTGATTTAGTAAGATACAGTCTAAAAATAAAAAAATAAAAAGCGGTGAGGGGGTAGCTCAATGTGAAGGTCCTGAGTTCAATTCCCAGCATGGGGGAAAAAAAAAAAATTCCCAGCAAGGGGATAAGCAAGTGTGCTCTAGGCCCATAGCCAGCCGGTTACAGCGTGGGTTGAGGACCTGGGACTATGGTCCCTAGCCAGGGCATGTCTCTCAGCAGAGTGAGGCTGGTGACTAGGCTGGGGCTTAGCACGAGCTGGGGCCCTGCCCCTTGTCTTCCTCTCCCGCTGTGTGACGCTGGGCCGCTCTCTTGGCCTCTCTGGGCCTCTCTGGGCCTCCTTTTCGCTGCCCGCCCCGTTCCCGCCCACGCCACTCACGGGCTGTCGCCGGGCAGCTGCAGGTCTTCGGGCCGCACCTTGAAGAAGCCCAGCACGTGCGGGCCGCGGGAGATCTTGGGGGGCAGCGCCATGAGCGCGGCGCAGTACTCGGACAGCGTCCCCTGGCGGCTCTCGGCGACGCGCTGCCCGTCGAACCAGCGCGGGGCTAGGGCGGTGGAGGACACCCGGGCGTGAGGGGCCAGCGGGAGGTGAGGGGCCCGGGGGAAGTGAGGGGACCCCGGGGCGGGGCGGGGGGGACCCCGTGGGGGTGCGGGGCCCGGGTCCGGCCTCACCGGGGAGGTGCGGGATGATCCTGTTCTGCGGGTTGATTTCCCCCGCCTCGATGGGGAACATTTCCTTTAGCATTTTCTAGCCGGGAAGGAAAAGACAAGAATGCCACGGACGCCCCGTCCCTAAATGTGTCCCAGCCAGAGCCGCCCAGGCTGGAGTGACCCCCACTTCCCTCCACCCCTCCCCGGCGCACCCGCCCCAGACCCACGGGCGGGGGCTGGGTCCCCTCTCCTTCAGAGGAGCCCCTGTTGGGGCGGGGGCTGAGAGACGCCGCGACGCACCTCACACCCCTGAACTGCACACCCCGTTACAATGGCAAATTTGGTTATGAACGCTTGGCAGCGATGACAGTTTGCATTTTGTACAAGGGTTCCTGAAGTTCAAGAAGGCGCCGTGGCCGTGGGCGGGGGCGGGGACCCTGCCACCTCGCCCGCACTCACGTGGAACTCGTAGATCTCGGTGAACTTCCGGTACACCACCTTCTCCGACAGGTCCTGCCACTTCACCAGGAACATGTACACCTGCGGGGCGGCCGGGTCAGGGAGAGTGCGGGGCCCCGGGCTCCGTGGGCTCGGGGGCTGCGCCTCTTAGTCTTGGTACCCAGGGTGGCCAGGTTAAGGGGCGGTGAGACCTTTAAGAGGCGGAGCCTGTGGGAGGAGCTTAGGCTATGGGCGTGGCCTATATGGCTTCAGGCCCCGCCCCCGGGGCCTTCGTGCAAAGCTGGGCGCTGGGCTTCTGGGCTGGACCTGAGGTCCTCCCTCTGCGCTTCTGCCATCCAGAGGCCGCTGACCTGAGGCCCGCACCACAGCCGGCACCGTGCTCTTGGGGCTTTCAGCATCCCAAACCGTGACCTCAACAACCTCTTTTACGTTTCTTTTTAAAATTAGTATATATTTTCAATCAGTGACTACGGCATACCGCCCCTTCACCATCTTTACTTCCTCTTCCCTCCCTACCATCTCCCCGTCCCCAGACCCCTCCCCAGCCCCACAAAGTCTATCGCCCCGCTTCCTGTCATCAATCTTTCACTCTCTTCTTTGAGTTGTATGTTCGGTTTTTCATACACCTGAAACCATGCAATATTTAACCGTCTGACCTATATCACTTAGCATTATGGCCCCAAAGTGCATTCATTTTCCTACAGGTGACTCAAAGTTTTGAGGGCAGAGTAGTACTCCACTGTGTGTCAGTGCCACCTTTGCTGTACCCGCTCATCTGACGATCAACACGTGTGCCACTTGCGAGACAGCCGCAGTGTGCTGTGCGGACGCGGGTGTGCATGGATCGCTGCGCTATGAGCTCTTTAGCTCTGCTGTGAATACGCAGGCTCAGGACAGCGAGAGAGAATGTCTACTTCAGTGTTTTGAGGAGTCTCCACACTGGTTTCCTTAGCGGCTGTACCAGTCTGTATTCCCACCCTCGGCAGAGAAAGGCTCCTTTGCCCCCACGCCTGGTCAGCATTTGTCATTTTTTGAGTTACTGATGAAGGCCATTCTTTCTTTCGAGAGTAGAGGGGAATCCCAGCGGCCTCTTTTCTCTATAGCTCCCTTTCCTCAGGTATTTTGTTATAGTAATGGGAAATGGACTAGCACAGCTCCTTCCCGATCAACTCAGATTCCTCATCCTAACTTGGAGGTAGATGCAGGACCTCACTCCTGGGTCTGGCGTGCGTGTCTCTAGCATGGGAGAGGGCTCAGGCACTGTAAGAACCTGGGAAGGGAATGTGGGGTTCCGTTTGTAGGCGATTTCAGGAACAGACAGGTCTGTATGAAGTGGATCGGCATCACCAAGGGCTAGAACAGGGACCTGGAGAGACTGCTTGTAGGTACAGGGGAGGAGATGGGAAGAAAATGTCCTCACACTGACTTTAGTGATGGTTGCAGAGCTCTGAATATGCTTAACACACTGAATTTTTACATAGGTGAGCAATAGGAGGTTGAATTCTATCTTGCATGAGCCATAATTAAAGAGAAAATAAACAAAAAAACCTCAGTAAGGAAATATAGAAACAACTAGGTGAGCTGGGCATGGTGGCACACATCTGTAACCCCAGCTACTCAGGAGGCTGAAGCAGGATGATTGCAAGTTTGTGATCAGCCCAGGGAACTTAGCAAGACCCTATTCAGTGACAACAAAGGAATAGGGAGTTGGGGATGTAGCTCAATGCAAAGGCTCTGGGTTCAAGGTCCAGTATCCAAAAAAAAGTATACCTCACATCTTCTGGGATATGTATTTAAAAAAAAAAAAAAGATGGAGCCAGGCATGGTGGCACATGCATGTAATCCCAGCACCCTGGAGGCTGAGGCAGGAGGATCACCATGAGTTGGAGGCCAACCTGGGCTACAAGTAAAACCTGTCTCAAAAAAAATTTTTAAAAGATGGATAACCCTGCTGACATGCTGGTGTGCTAAGCTAAAGGACAAATACTGCGTGACCCCATTTTGCCTTGTGAGGATGCAACAGTTCTAGAGATGAAAAGCGAACATGTCTAGACTTAAAATGGTTAAGATGGTAAATTTTATGTATGCATATTTGGGCACAATAATTTTTTTTTAAAAGTATAGCACTGGTATCTGAGCAAATGATTAAAGGAACAGAATAGAAAAGTCTAGAAGCAGATGCAAATGTCTGCAGAATTTAATGTAAGACTGAAGTGATGTCTCAAGTTACAAGAGTGAAGGGAAGTTTTTAAACACTAGTGTTTTGCTTTTTTATTTTACTTCATTTTTATTTTTTGGCAGTGCTAGGAATTGAACCCAAAGCCTTCATATTGAGTTACCTCCAGCCCTTTTTTTTTTTGAGACAGGCTCTTGCTATGTAGTTCAAGCTGGTCTTGAATCCACTATGTAGCCCAGGGTGGCTTTGAACTCACAGTGATCCTTTTGCCTCAGCCTCCCATGTACTGTACTGGGATTACAGGCGTGCGCCAGCAAGCCTGACACCTCCAGCCCTTCTAAAAGTCTTTTATTTTGCTAATTTATCTTGCTAAATTGCTAAATTGCCCAGGTTGGGTGCAAACTTTTGATCTTCCTGCCTCAGCTTCCCAGAATACTGGGGTTACCGCTGTGTGCCACCACCATGCCTGGCTTGGTTGGCCTTTTTGGTAAAGATATTGGATATAGGGCTGAGAGTGCAGCTCAGTGCAGAGTGCTTGACAGGCATGTGTGTGTGTGTGTGTGTGTGTGTGTGTGTGTGTGGGTGTGTGTTTGTGTGTGTGTGCGCGTGCACATGCATGTGTCCAATCCCCAGGACCACCTACCACCCACACTGGATTTGTATCTCCCACCACACAGCAGAACAAACTCCAATCAGATGAGCGATCTAATGTGAAAAATGAAACCGTACACGTGCAAGCAGGAAATTATTTCCAAATTGAAATCTGACAGATTGGAGGGGGAGAGAGGCAGAGACGGAGACTAGGCGAGTTGGCACATAAATGCCCTGCCAAGCACCACATGCAGTCTTTGCTGCCTTCCTCTGGGTGTGGGGACCCAGGCACGAGGTGTTTCCCCAGCCCCGGCCAGGAGAGGGGACTCTGGAGCTGACGGGCTCGGGGGCTCACGGTGCTGCAGAGGTAGCCCTGGGCCGCTGGGAGTCGGAGCCACCCCTGAGCCGGGTGGGCCGGAGTGCAGGGGCAGGGACCTGGGACGGAGGTGGCCGGACGGGCAGGCTGAGGTCCCAGGTGGAGCCTGGTGCCCGAGACTCTGCCCCACTAGTCCTCGCACTGCAGCTGGCCCTCGGGGCAGTGGTGGCGGGCACAGCCGGGCCCACCCCGCGCCCGGTACTCACATAGTGCTGGCTGGGGGCAAAGCGCTTCTCGAAGCCCAGGAGGGCGATGTGCCGGATGAAGCTGTCCCCCATGCTGCTGTGGCGTGGCCTCGACTCCTCCCAGACACTCTGCGGCGGGGCCTTAAATGCTCTGGAAAGAGGAAGTCGCTCCTGTCCCGGCAGGGCAGGGCGTGGGCAGGGCTCCGAGGTCTCGGTTTATTCTTTCAGTTTCTGGGGACTCTGAGCTCCAGCAGCAGGCACAAGTAGGAGGGGGAAGGCCTGCCCTTGGGTCCGCTCCCCCGGCTCTGCCTGATAGGCCCTCTGGTTCCCCTCCCTTGGCCTTTCTGTAGCCCTGTGACTCGTGCCCCAACTCCAACCCCAGGGCCTTTGCACCTGTGGAGCCTCCATCCCAACCCCCTCTCTACTTGCAGGTTTCTGCTCAGCGTCACCTCTGCAGAGTGGCCTTCCTTGACAGCTCCATGAAAAACAGCAAACTTCATGCCCACCCCTGCCTCTCCCTGCGTTTTCTTCCCAACATGTATTTTCACAGATATATCACCAATTTAATTTGTTAATTTCGATTTTGTTTATTCATGTTGAGACACTGGGAATTGAAGCCAGGGTCCTTGTACTGAGCCACGCCCCCAGCTCTTTTCATTTGGGGAGACAGGGTCTCACTAAGTCACTGAGTGGCCCAGGCTCTAACTGATGATCCTCCTGCCTCGGCCTCTCAGTCTATCTTATTTGGGGGCAATGCCTCCCCTCCCTAGACGTGAGCCTGGCAGAGCCCGTTGTGTCCAGGGCCCTGGGTTTGGCCCCACCGGCTGCAGTTTCTGACTTGCACTGGGTCCTTCACGAATCACTGCTGCGTCACCTGCTGGGTGATGACTGTGTGAGACCAAGAACTGGGGGTGGCACCGGGACTCCGACAGAGGCCGAGTCCTGGTCCTGACCAGCGATCGCGTCCCTGCATGCACGGCTTCCCAGCAGCTCTGCGGGAAAGGGACCGGGGAAGTGTGGGGTGGGGGCTCCCCGCCCCGTCTTTCCCCGCTGGCTGCCCCGCCCTGGCTGCTCCTGGCCTGAGCCCTCTTCTGCTCTGCAGGACTTTGCTTCCTGTCCCCCGCAGCCTGCTGGCTGGTCCAGAGATCCCTGCCCTGGGGGCCAGCCAAGGCGCCCTCTGCTCATTCCTGGTTATGTCTGCAGGGTCTGTGCTCGGTGATGAGCAACGGTGCTCCTCGGCAGTGACAAGGGACCGCCACGTTCGGGGGAACCGGCCGCCCAGCGAGGAGGGGCGGGGTGGGAGCCATCGGACTGGCTCAGAGACCACAGAGGCCAGGGGGAGCTCGGGGCAGGTGACCAGGGACCCCGCGTGAGAAAGAGCCAGGCTCTGTGGCAGGCCCTCACTGCGGTGGCCGTGTTGTTCACCTGGGCAGCGGCCGGGGGCCGCCGCAGCTGTGGGGATCGTGGGGCGGAAGGGGGTTGGGGCAGGTCCCGGGGCTCCACTTCCTTCCCCAGCGGCTTTTCCGCTCTTGCACAACCTCCCTGCTGCGTGCAACACTGCCATGCAGACACCAGGCCTGGCGCGGGGTCCCTGTGCCCTGGGCGGCCACCTTTCCTCTCTGACTCTGCAGCCCCAGGCGCCTGGCCCTGGCCCACGTGGCCCCTGATGGTCCTGGCCTCTGCTTGTTGGGTAAACAGAAGTGCTAAGATCTAGTGTTTGACCTTTCTTTTGTGTGTGTGTGTGTGTGTGTGTGTGTGTGTGTGTGGCAGTACTGAGGACTGAACCGAGAGCCTTTTCCCTGAGCTACATCCCCAGGCCTCGTTTATTTTTTATTTTGAGATGGTCTCGTTCAGTTGCTTCATTACCCAGTCTGGACTCCCACCCCTTGGCCCTCCTGCCTCAGTCTCCGAGGGTGGGGTTCCAGGTGTGCACCACCATGCCTGGCTCCGTGCTGGACCTGGCACTACCTCTGTGAGCAGGCTCACAGCCTTCTGTCACGGAATTCATTTTAGATTCCAGATTTTGTTTGTTTGTTTGTTTTTTTGTTTGTTTGTTTTCTGGTACCAGGGATCAAATTCACGACCTTGCACTTGCCGGGCAGGTGCTGTGCTGCTGAGCTAAATCCCCAGCCCAAGAGTGAGAATTTTTTTTTTTTGTACCGGGAATTGAACTCAGGATCTTGTGCTTGCCAGGCAGGTGCTTGTGCCCCTGAGCTATTTCCCCAGCCTGGAATCCATTTTAATGCCTCGATGTAAACACAACTGAAAAAAAGGGGAAAAAAAAAAAAAAGAAAAAGAAAGAAACACACGAGTGACCAAATAACTTAAAACTAAAAAAAAAAATTTTTCTTTAGATGAGGAGCCAGGCGTGGTGGTGCACACGTGTAAGCTCAGCTAATCAGGAGGCTGAGGCAGGAGGATGGCAGGTTCCAGGCCAGCCTGCCAATTTACTGGTACTCTGAGTGGAAATGAGAAAATAAAAGTGCTGGGGACGGAGCTCAGGGTGAGGGGCTGGGAGGGCTGCTTAGCGTGCACAGCTCTCCCCACCGAAAAGAGGAACCAACAGCGAAGGAACAGGGGAGTGAACAGATACGAGATTTTTAGCGGAGAATCAAATTTAAAAAAGAAAACTTTGTTGTTAAATATACACAAACAAAAACAGTGCCCCTTGACTCCATGTAAAGTTGTGACAGTGACTGAGACCTGGGCGGCCACGGCCTGGGATCAGGATGATACCCTTATAATCCCAGCTCTATGGAAGGCTGAGGCAGAAGGATCCCAAGTTTGATCCTGGGCGATGCAGTGACTTACTAAGTCCCTGTATGCAAAACGAAAACCCCGAACCACATATTCTTACAGTGAGATGCTCTCCCGGGGAGCGGGGAATATGATCCCTCACTTCACAGGCGGGGAAGCTGAGGCGTGGAGAGGCCCACACGTGGCTCAGCTGGTAAGCACAGCGCTGGGATTTGGACCCAGGTGCACGCCCTTAGCCTCGGGGCTCTCCGGCCCTTGGTCAGTGTGAGTGAGCGAGCGAGTGATGAGTGAACGCCCGCGCGAGTGGGCTGGCCAGCACGGAGGTCCCAGGGGCACAGAGCAGGGCGCAGGCTCAGGACTTCCTGGTCAGGCCGCGGATCCTGGCCGCTCTCCAGTCCCCACCGTCTCCTCCCTCAGGCCACTTGGCTTTCCCCAGATGGGCTGGGCGCGTTTCCCTAGTCAGGAAATCCCCGAGGCCGGCCAGCGCGGGCAGCGGGGTTTGGTAGGGACACGAGCCCAGGCTGGGGTTTTTGGGATCTTCTGCCGGGAGGCCGAAGTTGGGACGTCCCAGGAGCGGAACAGCTCAGCCTGCCTGGGTCTAACTAAGCCCTGCGCTGCCTGATCCTGCGAGTGACAGGCGGCTGCGGGCCCATGTCCCAGCTGCCCCCGCTCTCCGGAGCACCTGAGAGGCTGGAGAGGGCAGGGCCACTGGGCTGTGACAGGGCTCTGGGCCACAGCAGGTGTCTCTGTGCAGAGACGTGGGTCGGGCAGACGATCACAAGTTCGAGCCCTGCCTGGTGACAGCGAAACCTGAGTCAGTTAAAAATACATAAAGGGCTGGGGATGTTGCTCGTGCAAAGGCCCTGCGTTCCGTCTCTGCTATCACAAGAGGAAGGAGGGAGGGAGGGAGAAGTTGTGCCTGGGACGGGCTCTGCCTGGCGGGGAGGGATGTGAGTCCTCACCAGGACCTCAGGTGCGGAGACTCGGGACCCTGCTGCATCGCCCGTGGGGATCCCTCTGCCCCAGACCCCACAGCACTGCCTTCCAAGCCTTGGCCTAACGCCCTGACGTTCAGGGAGCAAAGGAAACCCAGGCCCCCGGGGGAAGGCCGTGCCGGGTGCCAGGCTGTGGCACTGTGACCAGAGCCTGACTTCTGACCTGCTGTGCCCCCAGCCCCCCACTCCTAGCCCCGGGCCCCGCGGAGTCTCCCCCAGCCCGAGCCCCGTTTCTCAGGTGTGGACACCAACAACCGTGCCTGTGTCGCTGCTACGGTGGAGCCCACGAGGCCAAGGGCAGCCGCGGGCACACAGCGGTCAGAGCGATGTCACCAGGGCAGGCCCCAGGCTGCGGGGACCCCACCCAAGGCAGGGGCGGTGCCTGGCGCAGCTGGCCTGGAGGGCTGGCGGGCGGTGTGGGACAGCGTCACCCAGGGCCGGAGGCCTCCTAGGCAAGTGTGTGGCATGCGCGGCGTCCACAGGAGGGGCCCTCGTGTCCACCCTGCTCGCTGCTCAGAGGCACAGATGTGTCGTCAGGGGAGTGACCTGACTCGCCAACCGCCAGCTCACCGCAGGAGACGCCGCCGGTGTGGGCTCTGTGGCCCGAGGACCGAGCCTTAGGGCCCGCGGTCAGAGCAGCAGCAGAGACCCGGGGCTGGAAAGCTGCACACAGCTGGGATCTGCACAGGTGGCAGTCGGGAGGTGACAGAGGGGTGTGGAGGGACCAAGCACCTGTTTTGCCAGCACCCGTTCAGGGTCCTTTGGGAACATCTCTTCCCTGTGACCCCCTGGAGGACATGGGCTAAACACAGGCGTGTGAGCCCTGCAGAGATCCTTCCGGTCATCCCCATTCTCTCTGGGGTGGAAAGCAGATCTTGTTTTTTTTTGCCATCGTGTGTGCATGTGTGTGTCACAGGGTCTTGCTATGTAGCCCAGGCTGGCCTCGAACTCATGGGGACCCGCCTGCCTCAGCCTCTTGAGTGCTGGGATGCCAGGCGAGTGCCACCACACCCAGCCAGATCTTGGTTCTAAGAACAGGGCAGGAAGTGCCTTTACAAATCTCTCTTGTGTCAGGCTGCTTTCAGGGCTCAACTTTCCTGCTACTTCCTGAAAAAACCCCTGCAGTGAGACAGGCAGAGGTGAGGCCAGTGGGGGTGAGGTGAGGAAGGGGCGTGTGCTTGTTACTGTGACAAGACACGCCAGCCAGGAACATCAGGGGCCAATGGATCCTTTTTTAGAAAACTGTTTTTCTGTGTATTAGAGATTGAACTCCAGGGCCTTTGCACTCATCTGTGTCTCTAACCCTTAAACTTTTTAAAATTGTGAAACAGTCTTGCAATCCTCCTGCCTCAGCCTCCTGCACAGCTAGGAAGACAGGCACACGCCTCTATGCCTGGCTTCCTTGC